GGATTCTCATTTGCTGGTGCTGGCTGTTTTTCGTGTGATCATCAACGTTTTGGGGTGACCATTGACCCTGTGACTACAAAATGGTGTCCAACTAACCACTTACAATTAACATCTTTTTTTTTAATTAACGAATTTATGGTATTTTTTTCTTGGTGGGGAATGGGGTTGGGTTATTCTCTCTTCTAGATTATCCAGCTAAGAAGATGAAAACGGCCGAGAAGGGACTTGGCTTAGTAGCTTATGCGGCAGACTCCTCAGATGAAGAGGAGGAACATGGAGGCCATAAAAATGCAAGTAGCTTTCCACAGGGCTGGAGTTTGGGCTATCAGTACCCTTCATCACAGCCAAGAGCCAAGCAGCAGATGCCGTTCTGGATGGCCCCATAAGAAATAGGGGCAGACCTTTGATGCTCGGTGACTCTTCTTAGCAATAATGCATGCACTTGATTAAACAAGACTCTGGGACCTGTTCTGGGGGCCATCTTGGACCTTGAAGACATTAGGGACGAAGTGTCCTCTGTCATAAAGGGATGCCATCCTTTTTAAAACCCTGTTTCTGCAGTGGCATAATATCCGTTAAAATTCACTTAGAATCACAAATTTGCGTCAAGCTTTTTAATAGTTGATGAAATGTCCGTGTCCAGAGAAACATCAGGACTGTGTCAATGCCACATATGTTTGACCTGGTCTAGCCTTTTCCAAATGAATAGCCTCAACTCTGTTGTAAAGAAAGTTTTATTTGTATTTTACTACTATTGGGTCAATTTTGATAATAACTGGTTACAAACAAAGCCTTACTACTTATTAGTGGGAAATGGTTTTAAGACCCTTCCTTCGAGTACTTACATTTAATTCTAAGAGCGCCTCATCCCTCTTTCCATTTGGATCCTTTCTGTTTGGAAAATGCTGTTGTAGTAATTTGAAATGGTCAGATACAACTGGATGAAATGAAATTATTTTTGCATTGTTTCTTAACTGGGATGATCCAAAGCTGGCACTTGTCAGCACACTTGTTTCAGGTAGCCATTGCTATTGTTACTGCCCTTCTAATTCCTTGTTTTCAGCTGGGTCAAAGAAAACGTGATTAAAAGTTGGTCAGAGCTGGTCAGAACTCATCACAGAAATGAAACACAGTTTCTGTCTCTCTGTCTCTCTGAACTGGTTGCAGCAAAAACAGAGAGGCTTGATGACACTGACAGGATGGTGGACTCTGACTGGAATTGCAACTGGTCCTTTTTTCTTGGCATGGCAGGTTTTGCCAAAAGAACTTTTTTGTATCAAATATTGATGTGTGGAAGTGAAGGAACTGGTGGCTGAGCCAAAAGTGGGCTAAATATTGGTGTGTGGAAGTGAAGGAATTGGTTTTGGCTGAGCCAGGAGTGTTTGAGATACTGTCATTTTTGCACATTTTTGGATATTTTGGAGGCTGGCTTTGTACAAACTTACTCTCTGGTTTCCTATATGTTGTAAATAATTAGACCATAATTTCATTATAAATAAATGTATAAATATTCTGCTTGTCATTTCTTTTTCTTCTGCAGCCCATTCATACACTAATATCAATAAATTTTTTTAAGTTATTTTATCTGTGTTGTTTTGCCTGCATGTATGTCTGTGTGAGGGTTTTGGATCCTCTGGAGCTAGTTATACTTAATTGTAAACTGCCATCTGATTGCTGGGAATTGAACCTGGGTCCTCTGGAAGAGCAGCTAATGCTTTTGAACGTTGAGCCATCTCTCCATTTCCTCAATAAACTTATTTTTCAGAGCATAATGCAATTTTGTCTACTCAACAAAAAGTTAACAGGCTCCAATATTTGCACGTGCTCCTTGGATTTATAACTCTGCAAAGTATATCCTTAAGGTCAAAATGAAAGACTAAAAGATTATTATGTTTCATGTTTTCTATTTTTCCTTCAATGATTCGTTTTTATTACTTTTGAGACAGGGTCTCACTGTGCTCTTCTGGCCAAGGATAGCTGCATCTTTGTGGTACATCTGAACTCACAAATACATCTATATAGAAATAAACATCTTAAAACAAAAATTAATGAACACATTTTAAGGGCACCATGTGTGTAGCTGTTAGAGGACAGCTTTCCAGAATTAGTTCTTTCTTCCCACTGTTTCCAGTGATCAAACTTGGCTCTTCAGGCTTTCGTGGCAAGTACTTATATATCTGAGGCCTTGTGTTTTGGAGGCTGGGGACTGAAACGCAGGGTCTCAGTATGTTGCCCTTCTATATAAAACCAGCTAGCATTTTCTTCTAGAGTGCAGGGATTAAAGATGACCACACATTTGGCTTTCCACTTGGTTTTTAACATTGTATCGCTGTGTAGCTCAGGATAATTACAACTACTGCCCAGCCAAAAAGACTTTTTTTTTTTTTGACAGGGTTTCTGTGTAGCTCTGATTTGTCCTGGAACTCTGTAGACCAGGCTGTCCTTGAACTCAGAGATCCACCTGCTTCTACCTCCTGAGTGCTGAGATTAAAAGTATTTGACACCACCTTTTAGCTTTTGTTTTGTTTTATTTATTTATTTTATGTGCTTTGTGTTTTGTCTGCATGTATGTTTGTGTGAAGGTGTCCAATCACTTGGAGCTGAATTTCAGGCAGTTGTGAGCTGATGTGTGTGTAGGTGCTGGGAGTTGAACCCAGGCTCTCTGAAAGGACAGACAGTACCCTTTCTTGATCACTGAGGCATCCCTCCAGCCCGTTTTATTTTCTGCTTTGTGCTTTTGGCAAATCCAGAACTTAATCCATGCTAGGAAAAGTTCTGCCACTGAGACACATTCCAGCCACTCCCCACTTTGAATTTTTGGAGCCTGGGTCTCATTATTTAGCACTGGCTGCTCTGGAACTCCAATTTATAGGCCAGACAGACCTTGAGAGAGCTTTCTGCCTCTGTCTCCAGAGTTTTGATTTTTTAGGCATATGCTACCATGTCTCGATATCTAGCTCTTTTTTTTTTTTTCTTTTTAATTATTTTGAAGGCTACAAATGGTGGTAGATCTCCGAGTTCAAGTCCGGTCTGGTCTACATAATTCCAGGATAGCCAGGGCTATGTAGAAAGATCCTATCTTAAACAAACATGTTTTGAGAGTATTTCTCAGTTACTATTCTATTGCTGTGAAGAGACACCATGACCAAGGCAAGTTTTTTATTTTTATTTTTTTTTAAGGCATTTAACTGGTGCTTGCTTACAGTGTGAGCCTGTGGTCATCACAGCTGGAAGCAGACAGGCATTGCGGTGCTGGAGCAGTCACTGAAAGCTCCTAATCCTTCCCAAACAGTTGCACTAACAGGGGACCATGCATTCAAACACCAGCCTATGGGGGCGTTCTTATTTAACCACTAGCACAGGGTCTCGGCAAATTCTGAGACTGGCCATGAACCTCCTCCCTCAACTTCTCTAGTAGCTTGGAGGATAGTTGTTTGTTGTCACATCCAGTTCTTGAAAAGTTGCAGCAGAGTGTGAGGGTGGCACATATCCCAGAGCTCAGGTGCTGAAGGCTGGGGGCTTTTGCGTTTGAGGCCAACCTATGTTGTAATTTTTTAAAAGCAGCTTAAGAGAGAAAGAGCATGCAACAGAGTTCAAGCGGAGTTTTGTTTTTAATTAGGAGAAAAGGATCTTAAGGGGAGGAGCAGCAGAAGAGAAGAAAAAGATGCAGATAGAGAAAGGAATAGGGAGAGAAAGAAAGGGTGGTGAGCAGGGCCCTTTTAAAAGGGAATATAGTGAATAGGCACAGGTGGTCTTAGTGGCAGCAGCTGAGGCATATCCTGTCAGAACTCCAAAGGCAGGCCAGTCCAGATGCCTAAATACTAGCAGCCTGGGCTACATGAGACTGAGTGAGACCCTCAAAACAAGATATAGTAATTGCACTTGGAGCAGGATTGCTATGGTTTTTGAGGTCAGCCTAGGCTGTAAAGTAGGACTTAATGATCCCTTCTGCTCCCTCCTGATTGCCCCTTAACACTGTTATACCAAGAGACTGACTGGTCAGGAACCAGGAACTGGATGCCAGCTTAATCTGTGCACCCTACATCCTGTTGGAACAGAAAAGGGAAGTGGAGTTTGCTGTGATGTGCAATGTGAATGAAAACAATGCCCACTTATTGCTGGGTTCTCATAAATTTATGACCTGGAATTCCTAAGAGACTTGCTTTTATTTATTTATTTTGGTTTTTCAAGACAAGGTTTCTCCGTGTAGCCCTGGCTGTTTTGGAGCTGAATTTGTAGCCCAGATTGACCTTGAACTCACAGAGATTCACCTGCTTCTGCCTCTGGAATGCTGAGATTAAAGGTGTAATCCACCACACCTGACTGCTTTTTGAAGAACTAATGTGTACATTTTACCTGCATGTATGTATGCGCACTGCCTGGTGCCTTCAGGAGCACAGAAGAGGTTGGTGGATCTGTGAAACATGTTATGGATGGCTGTGAGCCACCGAGTGAATGCTAGACACTGAGTCCAGATCCTTACAAAAGCCACAAGTGCTTTCACTACTGATAATCTCTCCAGAGATCGGTTTTTAGGACAGGGACGCTGCAGCCCAGGTAATGTGGAACTGATCTTCAACTGCTTGCTGCCAACACCTCTCATGCTGGATTTATAGGCATGTGCCATCATATCTGGCTCGTATCTGTTTTAATATTTTTAAAATACAGAACTTCAACTAGATTAACTGGTGCTAAGAACATCTGGTCTTGGTTCCAAGAGCCTTAGATGTGACAGCGTTTTATGGTAAAAGGCACCGCTAGTACTTACAATAAATGAAATCCTGTATTTTGGTAAGCTTGAGGGGATGTGGTTATGTTTTGCTGTGCACCGGGTAACAGATTTTTTCTTCCCCCACCAGTAGCAAATAGCCCTAAGTTACTCACTTTAAAGGTTTCTGTTTCGTTTAGTGGAACATCCATTTATGTACGTGCAAGCCTTGAGACATAGTACGTGACCAGAGGGCTTTGCGAGTCAGAACTAGGCGTGGGGTGGAGCAAAGTGAGTGTCGGCTGTGGGGCGGGGCTCCAGGGTCCCTCCCCTTCCACCGGCGCCATCTTCCTGGACCCGGGCGGGGCACTGGGCTGTGCGGCGCCGCTCGGGAAGGAACGCGGTCTGCAACCCGGATTCGACCGGCTTTAGAGGTACAGGCACAGGTGGGCAGGGACGGGGAGCGGGGCAGCGCGGGACGAGGGGAGGCGGCAGCCGGGCGAAGACCTGGAGGTGCCAGGCAACCCCCAGGACTCATCCGGCTCCTTTCTAGTGGAACACTGCCTTAGTCTGAAGAGAAGTCCAAGTTGTTTGTATTTTCCTGGAGAAAGTAAGTTTGGAAATCTGTGCTGTGTTTTAGGACCGAGACTAGCGGGGGAGGGAGAAGACGTGGGTTTCTTGGTGTTCCTCAAGGAGCAGGGTAGGCCGCGGTGTTTGGGAAGGCGGGGGCTCGTCGTCAGTGACCAACTGTCTCCATCCTGGATTGAATGTTTCGTGCCTTCTCTAGGAGGCCTTTCCCAGGGGCCCACGACTGCTCCAGAGGACAATGGATTCTGGAGCTCGCCCAGTTGGTAGCAGCTGTAGCAGCCCTGCAGCGCTATCAAGAGAATACAAACTAGTGATGCTGGGTGCTGGTGGCGTTGGGAAGAGTGGTAGGTAACCTTTTCCATTTGACAGAAAAGTTTGAAAAGCACCTAAGGGACCAGTAACCCAGACCAAATGGGTTACTGGCTCTTGTGCAGAGTTGCAAGGTAAAATACTTTATGGTCACTGTCATGAGTTCCATTTCTTGTTTTGAAGCCATGACAATGCAGTTCATCAGCCACCGATTCCCAGAAGACCATGACCCCACCATTGGTAAGTCAGATCCTCATTTATATTTCCAGGTACATCTGTGAAAGTATCTTAATAGATTTAAAGTTTAAAAAAAAAGTATATATCTTGAGCTTTTTTGTATATGTAATTCATACTTATTTAGAAACAAACAAACAAAAAAAAACAGTTGACTATTTTTTTTCCCTAGACTTCATATGTACATAAGCCATCTTGAGCCTTCGAGTTAGGTTGAGCATTAATAGACAAACGGCCTTTTTTTTTTTTAATGGTTGTATTCTGTATTGTTAGATTAAAGGAAAGTTTAAAGGCTACTCAATGAAACCTTTCTTGCTATCACTTCTAAGGGTCTGACATGAGAGTAACCCTATTAGTATGAGTCAGCTGGTTTGAACTTCCACAAAAGGAAGCAGAAAAACAAGTAGAGCCAGCCTACTGACCTCTTAGAACCGAACTTCCACTTGAAGCTCTTCATTTATTTCCTTATCCCGGCAGCTCATTCTATAGCAACATCTTGTGTGGCTCTGTAATCTTTGGCTGTCAGATGCTGGTAGAGTGCCATTAGACTAAATCAGTCCTTTTTTTTTTTTTTACACTGGGGATTGACCTGAGACTTCAACCCAACCATACTAGGCAAGGGCTTTACCACTGAGCTTGATTTACCCAAGATTACCCAAGATTTGTTTTGTGTTGTTTTCTTTTGGTAAAACGTTGAGCCTAAGCTAGCCTGAACACATAGCACTCCTTTTGCCTTAGTCTAGGACTTCAGACATGAGCTACCCATGCCCAGTTCTATAGTGTGGGCTGTATTGTTGTTGTTAGTTGCTATCTTGTGTTGACTAAAAATGTTCCTCACTCCTAAATCACAAGGAAGCAGTTTTTGGCTTTGTTTTTTGTTGTTGTTGTCGTTGTTTTTGTTTTTTTGAAGCAGGGTTTCTCTGTCGTGGTTGTTCTGGAACTGGCTCTGTAGACCAGGCTGACCTCAAACACAGAGATCCACCTACCTCTGCTACAATTAAAGGCATGTGCCACCACCCAGCAGCAGTTTTGATCCTGAATGATTATATAAAAGAAAAGTAGGGCTGCAGAGGGCTCTGCCATTAGCTGAGAGTGATGGCACACATCTGTAATCCCAGCACTTGGGAAGCAAAAGCAAGAGGAACATGAATTTTCATCAGCCTGGGTTACATAAAGAGTTACAGGCCGGCCAAGAATACTAGTGAGATCCTCTGTCAAAACAAAAACAAAAATCTGCCATTCTGTGGCTGTGATCATTTTGATTATCATATGCTTCTATAGGTTTGGGAAAAATGGAAAGGAACACTTGTCTTTTTAGTGAGTTGTATGGGGGTTATTTATTTTTTGTGCTAGGGATCAAGCCACGTACATGCTGTACCACTGAGTTGCACCCTAGCTCTGCTATATCAACTTGAGAACATTGTTTCAGAGATTCAGACTGTGGTGTGGGAACTCTGAATACAGTCAGTTCAGGAGTTAGGATCATTTACTTTGTTCTAAGCAGTAGCTCCAGGCCACCCACTGGTGGCCCCTAGTGCAGAGCCCAAATTCAGAGTTGTCTCAGCTCAAGTGATACTTCACTAGAGGGACATTGCTTGTGCTAGATGGCGAGGTGGGGTCAGTGTCTGCCCTCTGCCCTGCAAGAGGAGTGTTTGCCACCCCTGCCCTCCTGCACTGCAGGAGTGTGGGAAGACTGGCTGACAATCTGCCACACCCACCTAGTTATTCTGCCCTTGTTTATAGTGAGAACTAGCCACGCCTAGAGATTGGCTGGAAAATGTCACATGGTCACCTCAGTTGGACTGGAACTTAGACCCTGATCTCAGACTTCAAGGGTCTAGTGGCCCATATCCTAACATCACTCCTTGGTAGGAGGGTAGAAATGTCCTACACATCCTTTATTCTATTCTCCTTCCTACACAGGTTTTTAGAGCTATCAAAGTAGGCTGAATTCTCTTTGGTCATGTCCATGGTGCTCTCTTTTCTTGTTCTGTGTTATAATTCTGACCAATTGCTCAGAGCTCATCTCCCTTCGTTCACAGGTACCACTGACTGTCTTTTATTTTAACATGGTAGCTAACGTGCAGTATAGTGAAATTCACTGTCCGTCATATGGTTTGAGATGTAAGCTCCACAGACTGTAGTAACAAGCTGGGATGGATCTATGGATTTGCTGCTGAAATAGGCCATGTGACTCTGGAACTTACTGTAGTGGAAGAGAGTTAGGGCTGTGAGACTGAGGAGCATATACCTTCTGATAACTCTTGAAGAAGGAAATCTGACATTTCCCAGGTCTCCTTCACTCACTGAAAACAAAAATGTCCTTCTATAGCCACCACCTTAACATCAGTGGGAAGTGTTTGCCCCCAAAGCCTGGTGACCTGAATTTCTGTACAACCTATGTAAAGGTGGAGGGGACTCCTGACTCCACAAAGGCGTCTTGTATATCTCTACACACACACACACACACACACACACACACACACACACGGGGGGAGAGAGAGAGAGAGAGAGAGAGAGAGAGAGAGAGAGAGAGAGAGAGAGAGAGAGAAAGCCTGTGTGCACACATAAACACAGAATCATCTTTAAATAAGATAAAAGCTAAAAGAACTCCAGAAGCAATCCCTTCTTTCTCCTTGTATTTAATTTTTTGTAAGTGACATTGAACACTCTTTTTATTTGTTGTGCTTGGAATTGAACCCAGGACCTTGAGCATACTAGACAAGCACACTACTATCATGTTACATCCCCAGCTCTCTTGTTTTTAATGTAAAACTCATACTTTTTCTAACCCAAGGAGGTTTCATTGGTTAATCTGCAGTGTTGTGAATTGAATTCAAGGCTCTATGTATGTTCTGTAAATACTGCAGATCTGTGCCCACCGCCTCATGAACTGATTTTTTTGTTGTTGTTGTTTTTTCGAGACAGATTAAAGATGTTTAAATTTAAATCTTTTTTTAAAAAAGTTAGTTCCTGCTGAGCGTTGGTGGCGCATGGCTTTAATCCCAGCACTCAGGAGGCAGAGGCAGTCAGAGCTCTGTGAGTTTGAGGCCAGCCTGGTCTACAAGAGCTAGTTCCAGGACAGGCTCCAAAGCAATACAGAGAAACCCTGTCTCGTAAAACCAAATAAACAAATAAAAAGATTATTTTTGTTTTATTGTTATGGGAGTTTACCTGTATGTATGTCTGTGCATCACAGTGTGCTTGGTGCCTGTAGAGGCAGAAGAAACTTGTTGGATCCCATGGAATTGGAGTTAATAGAAAGTTGTGAGTTCTCATGTGGGTGCTGTGAGCTAAACCCAGGTCATGTGCAGAATCCATAAATCAGTGCGTTTTTTACCCTGTTCTGCTGCTCTCTGACAGTATTGCATGACTCAGCATCAAATGTTGATGTGTCTTGAGCACTGTGAGTGTACGTGGCTACTTACTTATAAGCACACACATGTGACTGAAATGAAAGTCTAATGTTGGGACCTGTGAGATGGTTCAGGCAGTTAAGGCACCTGTCACCAAGTCTGACCTGACTTTGATCCCAGTAACTCACAAGGTTGAAGGAGAGTACCAGTTCCTGCAGGTCTTCTCACCTCCCTAGCTGTGTATTGTGTCCATGTTTTGGTGAGTTCGCTGAGAAGGTGCTTACTGCCAAGCCTGATAAACTTGAGTTCCATCCTTGAGACTCACTCACATGGTAGAAAGAGAGGACCAACTCTTGAAAGTTGTCCTCTGAACTCCACATGCATTATGTAGCATGTGTGTGCCCGTATGTACACAGAACCAATTAAATAATGTAATTAATTTTAAAATGTTAAGCAGAAATATCTTGGGCTGTATGTGGCTGTTTTGGTGGTGGTGGTGGTGGTGGTGGTGGTGGTGGTGGTGGTGGTGCCTTTCTGTTGTTGTGGTGGTTTTGTTTTGTTTTGTTTTTGAGACAGGGTTTCTTTGTTTAGCCCTGGCTGTCCTGGAACTCACTCTGGACACCAGGCTAGCCTCTTTCTCCTAGGTTATGGGATTAAAGCCCTGCACCATCATGTGTGGCAGTTGATTTTAAGTAATAAAAATATTGAATGGGATTTTTTTTTTCTCTTTCACTTTTCTGTATTTTCCAAGAGTATTACAGAAATCTATATAAAAGAGGGTGTCCCAGTGTTTGAAAGTCTGAGGCAGTAGAGTCTTTTGGAACCAGGAGTACATGGCCAGCTGGACAAGATAGAGACCTCATTTCTTCATATATTGGTAGTGGGTAGTATTTAGGGTAGAGGTTGATTCAGGATGGCCTTGACTCACTATGTAGTTGAGGATGACTTTGAACTCTTGATTCTGCTCCTTCACTTGCATATAGGCCTATACAACTCTACCTAACTTCCAAATCTGGTACGGAACATGCCTGAAATCTTACCTGCTGAGGAAGTGCAAGGGCTAAATTGGACAGTTTATTTAAGACCCTGTCTCAAAAATAAAATTTATCGCTGGTCAGTGGTGACACATGCCTTTAGTCCCAGCACTCAGGAGGCAGAAACAGGTGGATCTCTGTGAGTTCAAGACCAGCCTGGTCTACAAGAGCTAGTTCCAGGACAGCCTTCAAAGCCACAGAGAAACCCTGTCTCAAAAAATCAAAATAAATTAATTAAATTTATCTGGGCTGGTGGCTGCAGGTCTAGAATGTTTCCTGGGCTGCTGAGGCAGGAGGGTCACAAATTCAAAGACTACCTGTTCTACTGACTGAGTTCAAGATTAGACTAATCAACTTAATGAGAGCTCTCAAAAGTAAAAGAGCCTGGCATAGTGGCTCATACCTGTAATCCCAGCACTTGGGAGGCTTAGCAAGAGGATTACCACAAATTAAAGACTAGACTGGGCCATAGTATGAACCCCTGGCACAAAACAAAACAAAGAAAGAGCTGTTGTGTATCTCAGTGGTAGAGCACTTGTCTATCAGAAGCCTTAGGTTCTTTCTTCAGTGCTTTAAAAAAGTATTAGAAGGTAGAGGCAAGCAGACTTCTTTGAGTTTCTGGTCAACCTGGTCTATGTATTAAGTTGGCCAGCCAGGGATACATAGTGAGACCCTATCTCAAAAACAAAAAATAAACAACAAAAAGGTAATAAAATAAAATAAAAAATTTTAAAAGGGCTAAAGATATCTCATGCTTTTATTGAATGCTTAAGACCTTGAATTTAATCTCCAGTATTGCAACTAACAGTAATATTCAGAAAAGAACTTGGTTTTGTAATTAAGGGATTGTGACATCGTTGTGAGAGATGCTTTACTGAATATAGTACAGTAGATGTTCTTGCAGGGTCCCAGATTTGGTTTCCAACACCAGCATGGCAGCTTATAACCATCTATAATTCCAGTTTCAGGGGATCTGATGCCATCTTCTGACCTCTGTGGGCATTGGACACACACATAGTACACTTCCAGCCAAAACACTCATATGCATAAAATAAAAATAAGTAAGTCTTTAAACAAAAAGTATCCAGCAATGGGGCCTCCAACCTTTAAAACCTGCATTCTGGGTTGAGGCATAAAAGAGGAACTGTAGTATATGCTGTACACAGGGGGCCAAATTTGAGTCCATAGCACTGGGGTTTCATCCTAGCTCATCACCAATTAACTGCAGCTTAAAAAAGACATTCAGTATTTTGGGATTAGCCTTTTATTCTGTAGCTCTAGTTGGTCTCAAACTCACAGAGATCTGCCTGCCTCTGGGCCTTGCCTGCCCCTGCCAGCGGGGGATCAAGGATGTGTGCTACCATACCTGGCTTCCCTTCTGCTGTAAAATGGGAATAATAATACTGTATTGGATTATTATGACTATTAAATGATTTAATGTATACAATTTACTTAACCTGGTGTCTTGAGTGTACTTTAATAAGTGATAGTTGGGACTAAAAGCATATATCTCCATGCCTGACAGTTAAAATATTTCTTTAGTGTGTGCATGAAGTGTGTTCGTAGGCACACGCTGCAGCACATTCGTGAAACCTGGGTTAGAACCCTAGAATCCACACAAAATAGGACAGGACAGAACCCACAAAATTTTCGTTTGACTTTCACACATGTGCTGTGTCATACCCATCATGCACACACTAAAGAAATATTTGAACTCAGTTAAATATTTCAACCCAATTAAATGTGTTCTTTCTTTCATAAGGTCTTGGTTGTGGTATTTCTTCACAGCAGTAATACAGTGACTAAAACAAATCCTTTTCTTTCTTTTCTTTTTTTTTAATATTTATTTTTTATATGTATGAGTGTTTTGCCTGCATATATGTCTGTGTACCATGCATGTACCTGGTGCCTACATGGGTTCCCTACAGAGGGCATGGTTCCTCTGGTACTGAGTTACAGATAGTTACCACCATTTGGGTGCTAGGAATTGAACCCAGGTCTTCTGCAGGAGCAGCCAGTGCTGTTAACCTCAGAGCCATCTCTCCAGCCCCTTCCTTCCTTTCTTTTTTTCTTTCTTGTAGTTTTTCTTTTTGTTTTTTTTTAAAGATTTTATTTATTTATTATGTATACAGTCTACACAGTCTTGTGCCTGCATGCCAGCAGAAGGCACCAGATCTCATTCAAGGTGGTTGTGAGCCACCATGTGGTTGCCGGGAATTGAACTCAGGACCTTTGGAAGAACAGTCAGTGCTCTTAACCACTGAGCCATCTCTCCAGCCCATGTTTTTTGTTTTTTTTAAAGACAGCATCTCCCTATGCAGCCCCAGATGTCCTAGAATTCATTATGTAGACACAGTTGGCCTTGAACTCAAAGAGATCCTACTGCCTCTGCTACTCAAATGCTCAGAATTAACTTTTAGCTGTGAATAAGATATCTGACCATGCCAAGTAGTGGTGTGTGTGTGTGTGTGTGTGTGTGTGTGTGTGTGTGTGTGTGTGTGTGTGTGTATTTTATGTGCATTGGTGTTTTGCCTGCATGTATGTCTGTCTGTGTGAGGCAGTCAGATCTTGGAGTTACAGACGGTTGTGAGGTACCATATGGGTGCAGGTTCCTCTGGAAGAACATTCAGTGCCCTTAACGGCTGAGCCATCTCTCCAGCCCCTGACATATCACAGTCTTAAAACCCCTGGACAACGGGGGAGGCAGGCAGGGTCAGGAATCAGATTGTAGAAAAAACAATGGTTCATGCTTTTAATCCCAGCACTTGGGAGGCAGAGGTGGACAGATTTATGTGAGTTCAAGGCCAGTCTGATTTACAGAGCTAATTCTCGGATAGTGAAAGCTACACAAAGAAACTCTACCTCAATAAACAAAACAAAACAAAAAGATGTATGACCACCCATGAACAAAAAACCTTATTGGATACCCTAGTTTATATATTTTGATGAATTTATAGCATCCTGAGAAAACTGAGCACATAAAAACAACTTGGAGGCCAGGAGATGGCTCAGCAGATAAAACACTTGCTGTACTTGCTTAGTGACCTGATTTCCAGCCCTAGAATGCATATAAAGGTATACGGGAAAGGCTGACTTCATAAATTTGACCCTTTACCTCCATATGCACACACACATACATATCACTAATAATAAAATTTTTGAAAGAACTTGGTGAGCTGGGGAGATGGCTCAGAGGTTAGAGTACTCACTGTGTAAGCTAGAAGCTAGAAGCAGAGTTCATTTCAGATCCCCAGGACCCAGGTAACTGGCTTACATGTAATTCCAGCCTCCAGAGTCAAAGATAGAGGCTTCAGTGAACAGGCTGCCTAGTGAGACCCAATACTAACCCTGGGTCTTCACACACATGTGCACTCCCACACATACAAGCATTCATGCATATTCATATGTGCATCCCACACACATGAAAACAAATGTAAAGAGAAATTGGATGAAGCCTGGGAATACAGCTTTATGGTAGAACACTTGCCTAATATTTGAACCCCTGGATTCAAGGTCTGGCTCTACCACAATAAATAAGCATATAAATAAAATTGGGTGGAACCACCTCTTTTAGAAGTCAAGTTTTCAATTCTTGCTTCTTCCTGAATGTGTGTTCTTCCCTCCTGTAGAAGACGCTTATAAGATCCGGATTCGCATCGATGATGAGCCTGCCAATCTGGACATTCTGGATACAGCTGGACAGGTACTAAACCCCAGGACTGTGTGAGTAAAAACTGTGTCCTCTAGGAAGGTGGCAGGCTTCTGTGGACAGCATCACTAGTTTTGTCTTTCTTAATTTTCCATGCTCTGCCTCAGGGGGGCAGGTAACTGACTCCCTGTTTGTTTATAGAGTAGACAGTGTGTGTGCAGGTCTGAGCTGCAGCAGTGCACTATGGACCTTTGTTTCCTTCCCTTTAGGCCGAGTTCACAGCCATGCGGGATCAGTACATGAGAGCAGGAGAAGGGTTTATCATCTGTTACTCCATCACGGATCGTCGAAGTTTCCACGAAGTTCGGGAGTTTAAACAACTTATTTACCGCGTCCGACGCACGGATGACACACCAGTGGTTCTTGTGGGAAACAAGTCTGACTTGAAGCAGCTGAGACAGGTGAGAAGAAAGGCCTGTAATATTATGGGTAGCCATTTGTTTCTTGAAGACTGCTTTGCTTCAAAGTAGGAAATGAAAATCAGCCTCCCTCTAGCTATGAATTTCCTGTTGTTATAGGTAAAATCTGGATTTTTAGAAATCAGTGCACAGCATTTTAGACACATGATCAGCTCCCTGTGTCATATACCTGTACCCTAGGCATTTAACAGGCTAGGCAGGAGGCCAGCCTGGGCTGTGTAGACCCAAACTCAGCCAGTCAGTCAACAAACAAACAGATGGCAATAGAATACTCATTAAGCTCTTGTTTCCTCAATCTCCAGAATAATGTTTGGATGTGGTTTAGTGGTAGAGCTCCTGCCTAGCATACACTGAGTTTAATCTCCAGTACCACAAAATAAAAATCTAAAAATCAATAAAGCCAAGGCCAAAAAGAGGTCTCAGATAGTAACGGCACTCACTTACTTGCCTCGTAAACCCAGTGGCTTAAATTCAATCCCTAAAATCCACATAAAGGTAAAAAAAAAGAGCTGATTCTACAAAGTTGTCTGTTGATTTTCATACATGTGCTGGGACATTCGGGCCTCACACATACATTGTACACACATAATAAATAAGTACTTTAAAAATAATCAAACTAGTTAAAACTGGACAGTTGGAGAGCTAACTGAACAGTTAGGACTACCAGCTGCTGTTGCAGAGAATTCATGTTCCATTCCCAGCAACCACATGGTGTGGCTCCCAGTTCCAGGAGATCTGATGCCTCTAGCCTCGAAGGACACCAGGCATGCACATGGCACACAGACATACATGTAGGCAAAACACCCATACACATAAAATAATAATCTAGCCGGGCGGTTGTGGTGCACACCTTTAATCCCAGCAAGTAGGAGGCAGATTTCTGAGAGACCAGCCTGGTCTACAGTGTGAGTTCCTGGACAGCCAGGGTTACCCCACACACACAAAAAAAAACAAAAAACAAACAAACAAACAAAAAGGAAAAGTATACAGAAAACTACAATTATCAGTATCTGCATTTACTTGATATTTGAAAAGTTACCTTGAAAGGCCTGGAGACTCAGCTCAGTCTGCAATGTGCTTGTAAGGCTGGGCTTTATAAGGCTTAACTTCAGCTTGTTTGTTTGTTGTTGTTGTTGTTTAGGTTTTTTGAGACAGGGTTTCTATCCCTAACAGTACATGAACCCAGGCATGGTGGCACATAGCTATAATTCAAGTACTCCAGAGGTAGAGGATTTAGAAGTTCAGAGCATGCTTGGCTGGCCTGGAATACAAGAGATCTGTCTTTAAAAAAAAAAAACATCTGGGCAGTACTCTGGAAATAGATCCATGTAGCTGGAGCGCGGTCCTGCCAAGGAAGCCCATTTACTCTTGACAGTTGTAACTGCCACCTGCTGTACACTATACATTTTCTCGTGTTTATGCCTTTGAAGGTCTCCAAGGAAGAGGGATTGTCTCTGGCTCGAGAATTCAGCTGTCCCTTTTTTGAGACCTCCGCTGCATACCGTTACTACATTGACGATGTTTTCCATGCTCTTGTACGGGAAATACGTAAGAAAGAAAAGGAACTAGTTTTGGCCATGGAGAAAAAATCTAAACCCAAAAGCAGTGTATGGAAGAGGCTGAAGTCACCATTCAGGAAGAAGAAGGACTCTGTAACTTGAGGGGAGTGTAAAGGATCTGCTGTGAACTGCGGTGCTGCTCGAGGCGGTCCAGTAATCTGCAATGATGAGCATGCTGTCTGCTCTCTCTCCCGCTATTCTAAATGTCACTGGTGAGGGGGACATGTCCACTAGGAGTGTTCAATGATTCACTATTTAAAGCCCTGTCTTAGTTGACTCTGATTTATTAACCCATCAGAGCACTGTCTACTCTTTAACTGTCACTTTAGAATTTGGTCTGCCCTTGTTCTGGTTATATTGCTGATGTAAATTAATTCGTGTAAATTGTTTATACCAGGAGAATATGTATTCCGTGTGCACTTGACTAAGTTTACAAAAGGAATTTTGTGCTGTATACTCCCCACCTCCCTCAACTTGAGCTTCTTGGTACTGTCTCACAGAAGGACCTCTGCCTTGTTTTTCTACACTGTACATCTTGGAGACAGAGCAAAAATTGAATAGGGAAACTAATACTAAAGAGATTGGTGCTAAAGGTGGGTAGGTGTCTGTGGAATAGACTCCTGTTGTAGATTATGGAGTGATAAAGTTTAGAGATACTGCTGTATGTCTACACAAGAAGACATGGCTGGAAACATACAGGGTCAGAACAGTGTTTCCGTGATGAGCCTGACAGCTGCACATTTAACCCAAAGGCACTCAGGTGGTAAAAAGAGACAGAAGCGGAAACAGAATGAAGGATTCTTTTTAACATACTTTCTTCTTCTTTTACTTGCTTGCCTTTCTTTACCTTTGTAGGCTGGCACTTTGAGAACTGCTTTTGGATCTGGGACCATCACAAGATCACTCGATTCTTACTTAAATCCTTTGTTGGGCTAGGCATGGTAGCTCATTGCTGTGATCCTAGTGTTTTAAAAGCAAAACAGGAAGACTGCCATGAAACTAGCCTGCACTACAGAATGAAAGCCTGTCTCAGGAAAACAAAACCAAAAACAATTAAATAAATTCTTTCTTAGGACAGCTACACCACAAACCTTGTCCAGGTTTCTTTCTCCTTTGAAGAACTGGGCCTGCCTAGATGGTTTTTAGGCCCTCCTTTAGACTGATGGTATTGTCCAAACGGAAGAGTCTGGGTAAAATTGTTAGGTGTTGCCTTGACCTCAGCAGTTATTAGACTCAGGGCTTGAAGGTCTGTGGTGTTTGTTTGATGGGCCAGTCTTAGAGCTTTAATATTCATATATGTGCAGTGGCTTCATAATCTGGAGATTTTCTCAGAATTGTCAAAGCTCAGCCTTGAGAATACCACTTTGGCTCCCATATGTAGTTGAGACACTAGTCTTGGAAGGAGCAGCTTTAATGGTTAGTGGTGAGCTCTCTGTCTTGGGGTCAGGATTATCTTGCTGTCCAGGTGTGCTGTGTGGAACACGTTCAGGAGAGTCATGATCCCTGTAGGGAGTGTTCACTCCAGGCTCAGGTGACATCTCCTCAACTGCCACTCAGCTTCCTGCTTCCCACTGTCAAAGGAATGGCAGATGATCTGATGCTAGGAGGAGCCATTGCTAGGACTTTTAAAAGTCCTTTGAAAGTCCTGGTAACTTTTGCTTACTATTCAAAATGTGTTTTTTAATATTCAAGCCATCAAAACATGAAGGACCCAAATTCAAGTCTACGAGTCATAGCATTTCAGAGAAGCAACAAAATAGAGATGAAATACAGCACCTATTTCTTTGAACAGTATCTCACCTGGATAAGGATTTCAGCTTGAATACCTTCTCTGCTTACTACTGATGATCTGCGGGGATGGGCATCAGTGTCAAGCAAGGAACTGACAGCTACAGCGACGCAAGATTGTCAAGGCAATAAGAAACATTGCCGGAAAGGAAGGCCTGAAAGACAGGGAGGTTGTGTTCTATACAAGGAAAGCAGCAGCGAGTGTTTTTAAGGCTATCCCTGTCAGACATGTGATCCTGAGCTGGTCCTTTGATTCCCACTGAGCTTGTATTCATGGTGCTAGATAGCTGCAGGAGCGCCGTGGTGTGAGCTACAGCGTCTCCTCAGCCGTCACATAGTATAGATAACTCACAAGCTTTAGGTCATCAGTATTGTCCAGCCCGAAGGCATGAAAGTCAAGTATTCTCTGGAACTTTGAAGAGAAGATTCAGGGATAAATTAGTTGAAAGGCACTGAAACTGTATTGAAACAAGGTTAGTAATTACAAGTCTCAGAAAGTAGTATCTAGAATTAGCTGTTTATAATCAGTAGGGAGACATGTTTTAATTTTGATATATTAGCAAAGTGTTGCATGTTACCTGGGAAGTTCTTCACTGGTGCGCTTGTATATGAAGGCAGTTTGTGCAGCACAATATAAGATTTTTAAACAATGTGTTGGGTTTTTGTTTTTCTCTCTTTTTTTTTTTTAACCTATAAGTGGGTAGAAATGTTTCACATATTTAAAAGTAAAACAGTGCTTTTTTTTTTTTTTACTTATTACTAACATTCCAATTCTTTTTTATAATTATTTGTGTATGTGAGTACATGTGACATGTGTGAATGTCAGAGAGCACCTTGTAGGAGTTGGTTTTCTCCCTTCATCCCTTTGTGGGTCCCAGAGATTAAATTCAGGTTTGGCAGCAAGCACCTTTCCCCTTGAGCCATCTGGACAGCCTTGTTTTGCTTTTTAAAGAGTCACCTGGGCAGGTGGCCATTTGAGGCTCCTCTTTATTCACTTTTTCAGGTGGCCTGCAGTATATAAGGACCTACGTGCTTGAACTCTAGCTCAGTGCTCAACTACAGGGAACCAGCCCCTCTAGCTGGTGTGATAGTGGCTTCCACTGAGACATGAGAGATGGCATCCAGGCAAAAGCCAGGTTATAGGGGTCTGTAGCCACCCTCTGTTCTGAGCAGCAGATCGACCACTGCTTGGAGAGGTTTTTCCAAATCTTCAGCAGCTGGAACAGTATGGGCAGTTCCTCCTACAGACAAAGTTGGATACCTCTGAAAAACAGAACAGCATCATGGGAGATCACTGAAAAGCTCACATCCATGGAGGATGATAATCTGTTCTTTACCCCAAGATTCTGAGCTGGAACACCTAGTTCAGGCCACCATTGACAAATCCTATGAGGCCCTCAGGAGGGCCCTTCCAGGTCAGAGAATTCAGATCCTAACTGCTGACGTGTTCCTTACAGGCTCTAGCCAAGAACCTGGCTTCAGCCAAAACATCTTACACCTTTCCCCTATATCAGTGTCACAATCCAGTGAGATGGTTCAATGGGTAAAAATGGGTGAAGGTAACCCTGAGTGTGATTCCATGGACTTACCAGGAAGTTGTTCTCGTGTGTCATGTGCCCCACTCCCACAAAGTAAAAAAATAATGTCAAAACAAACCAAAAACACACCAGCCATTTTGGTCTGGGAGGATTCTCAGTGGGCCAAGAAGCTGGCCTGAGGATGAGAGTAAACCCTGGGACCATACGATAGAAAGAAGCTACTGCTGCAAGTTGTCCTCTGACCTCTGCTTGTGCACTGTGGCCATGATGTACACACATGCAAATGAGTAAATAAAAATTTTTAGGTATCTTAGAAAATTTAATGGTAGGGCTCAGGTGTAGCTCAGTGGTAGGAGTTACATAACACACACCTGTTCAGTCAACATGTCTCCCTCCTCCCCAAAACCATCAAATCTCATGTTCTGGAAAATATTGATTCAAAATGAAAATCCCTACCATGTACAGAACACTCAAGTACTAGGGAGTCTCCGCAGATGGACCCCCTTTATTAAAAAAAGATTACATCTCTAAGGAGAAAGGAAAAACGGGGGTGGGGGGGTGGGGGGGGGAGTAATACAACCTATAATCCTAGCATTCCGGAGGCTGAGACAGGAAGATTGTGGATTCAGAGTCAGCCTGAGGAACATAGTGACACACTGTGTTAAAAAAGGAAAGTGGATATCTGTGAGTTGGAGGTTGGCCTGGTCTACAGAGTGAGGCCTGGTCTTAAACAAACAAACAAAAATTAAGGACAGAGAAAGCCAGGTGTGATGATGGGCAAGCGCCATCCCAGCATTTGAGAGGTAGAGGCAAGAGGATCAGAAGGTCAAGTACCTTCTGGTCTACCTCTAGCAAGCTCTACCTCCGTAGAGCTCCAGAAAGTGTCCAACCTGAATTTTTATTTTATGTAAGCTTGGTAAATATCCAACTCACCATTTGTAGTGTTAAAACTTCCAATCTCAGCTAGGCAGTGGTGGCACACACCTTTAATACCAGCACTTAGGAGGCAGAGACAGGCGGATCTCTGAGTTTGGGGCCATCCTGGTCTACAAAGCCAGTTCTAGGACAGCCAGGGCTGTTCTGATACACAGAAAAACCCTACCTTGAAAAACAAAAAAGCACAAAAACCTTTCCCAATCTCAATCTTTTTAAGTTTTATTTACTTTTATTGTATGTGGATATTTGTGTGCTTGTTAGTTTATGTGCACCACACTTATACCTGATGTTTAAGGAGGCCAAAGGGCATCAGCTCCCTGGAACTGGGAGTGCAGGCAATTATGAGTTACCCTGATGTAGATGTTGGGAACTGAACCTGGGTCCTCTGGAAGAGCAGAGCAGTAAGCACTCTTAACCACTGAGCTAAATAAAAATAGTAAAATCTTTAAAAAGAATGATACATGGGAACTTTATTTTTTGGGACAGGGTCTTGCTGTGTGGCCCCAGCTCAACTGATACTTGTGATGTCCCCATGTTGGCTTCTGACTCACAGCGGCCCCTTTGTCTTCACAGGTGGGCACCACCACTCCCGGCCATATGTAATTTTTAACTTTCAGGAGTCCTTGTCAACTTTGGCAATCACTTTGCTTTAAAAGGTTCAAGACTGAAAACGTTGGATTTGCACTGATGTTAGATACGCTCAACTTGAAGTTAGGAGTTTCATCAGCTTAGCTGGCTTAACAATAAAAGAAATCACTCAGAATGTTTGCTCTTTATTAAAGGTTATTTACTCTGCCCTCCAGACCCCTGAATGTTCCCACTACACAAATTAATTTTCTTTTCTCCCTACTAAGAATTATGAAATAGGGGGCTGGAGAGATGGTTCAGAGGTAAAGAGCACTGGCTGCTCTTCCAGAGGTCCTGAGTTCAATTCCCAGCACCGACATGGTGACTCACAACCATCTGTAATGAGATCTGATACCCTCTTCTGGTAGGCAGGCAGACAGCCAGGCAGAACACTGTATAATTAATAAATAAATGAGTCTGAAAGAATTATGAAACAGGTGTCATTTGAATCAGGATCCAAATTAGCAAGCATGCCTGAAGAACTCAGCACTTCAGAGGACATTTCCACAGTGGAATGTGAGTGACAGCTGTGCCTCTTGGTGAACTGTCTTGATGGCACCATCTATGAGAACAAAACAATTGCTGCCGGAGCACTTCTCAGCAGAAGGGACATTCTCTTTCCCCTTGGAACAGCTGACTTACATTGACTTGCTTCATGTTCTGCTAGGAACATGGGGTCAGGCTAAGGCCTGGAGAAGGAAGTGTCAAAGCCTTTATAGCTCTCGGCAAACAGTGTAAGTTACTTGGATTTACAAGTCTCAAGCTTTACAGTCCTCTATTTCCTTCATCTTATTAACAGAAGCTGCCTATGAGCTGGAGAGGCACAGCATGTATGCTCAGCTGATAGAGAAGCTGCCTACTGTGAGAGGTTCTGAATTCCATTCCGAGCATGGCAAAAAGCCAGGCATAGCAGTGAGTGCCAGTGACCTCCTTATTGGGGTCAGGGACAGAAAATCAGAAATTTAAGGTCATTGGCTATATAGTGCGCTTGAGGCCAGGCTGAGCCGAATTAGACAGTCATTAATTAATTAAGGCATGGTGATAGACAAGTCTGTATTCTGAATACCTGGAATCACAAGTTCAAGGCCAGCCTGGCCAAATTAATTAAAGAGTAGGGACCTAACTAAATATAGGACACTTGCCTAGCACACATAGTACTAGGGTTCAAGTCCCAGCACTCCAAAATAAAGAATAACTTAATAATGATGCCCTGACAGAGCTCAAGTAGGGAAGCAGAAGGTCTGGGAACAAGTCAGAAAAAAATGTTTGTTTGTTTTAGTTTTCTTTTTTCAAGACAGGATTTTTCTGTGTAGCCTTGACTATCCTGGAACTCTACTTTCTCTCTCTCTCTCTCTCCCCTCTCTCTCTCTCTCTTTCCCCTCTCTCTCTCTCTCTCTCCCCTCTCTCTCTCTCTCTCTCCCCTCTCTCTCTCTCTCTCTCCCCTCTCTCTCTCTCTCTCTCTCTCTCTCTCTGTGTGTGTGTGTGTGTGTGTGTGTGTGTATTTCAGGCTGGGCTTGAACTCAGATCTCCTGAGCACTGGGATTAAAGGCATGTACCACTGCCACTATCACAATCCAGTCAATAAATAAATACATAAATGAATAAAATCTTCTTTTGGAACTAGCTTTACTTTTTATTTATTTTTATTTTTATATGTATTGGTGTTTTGCCTTGGATGTTAGGTCCCCTGGAACTGGAATTACACACAGTTGAGCTGCTATGTGGGTGCTGGGAATTGAACCCAGGTTCATCTAGAAGAGCGGTCAATGCTCTTAACCACTGAGCCATCTCTCAACCCCTGAAAAAAATTCTTAATGTGAAGGAAACCACCAAATAGAGTGAGACAGAAAAGTTTTGAATGTTTGGGACATTCTGATATTGCTGATCAAGTTTTCCAGTGAGTTGGCTTGGAGACAAAATTACTGGGATCGTTTAGTTTTGTCTAGTAATCACTCTTGAAAAAGTTCTGTGTGTGCATTCCTCTGCACACATGATCAGATCATGAAGTCACCCAGTTTTCTGAACAAAAGCTGCTGGGGTGGGGACACAATCCATTTCCTGCTCTTACTGCTGGAGATCAGTACAGCATGTCCTGAGCCAGAAAACATTTGGTTAGTTCCCTACATCTCCCGCCAGATCTGTTAACACCTTCTGCCCTCGAAGAGGTGTGTGAGGCTCAGGGAACAGAGGCAGGGACACACTTTGCTGGCTGGAAGACATCACACCTACCTACTCCAAAATGTGTCAAGAGCCTGGGAAAATGGCTTCGTGGGTAGCATGTTTGCTGCATGAACATGAAGACCTGCATTTGATTTCTAAAACCCACATTTACAAAAGCCTGGGTGTGGTGACTCACACCTAATGCTGGTGCTGATGAGACACAGATGGAGGAACTCCAGGGCTTCACTGGGCAACTAGCCTGGCCAACTTGGTGAGCTCCTGCCTGAAAACACAAGGTGCATGAGTAAGTGAGTCAGATGATACGTAAGGTTGGCCTCTGTACTCCTTGCACACACAATTGTGCACACACAGGAAGAAGCACCTTGGGA